CGCGGGAAGAAAATGGAGAAAGAGAGAGAGAGAGGGGGGGCTATGCGTGGGAGAACCAGGGAAGGAAGAAAAAAGAAAAAAAAAGGAAAGAGAGAGAGAGATGGGGGGCTGGGCGCACGGGAAGGGAATGGGGGGAAAAGAAAAAAAAGAAAAGAAAAAAAAAAGAAAAAGAAAAGAAAAGGAAAAAGAAAAAGGGAAAAAGGGAAAATGTATTAAATTTAAGTGTGTTTTCCAAAAATCTTTGGGGTGTAATAATAAATATTGAAAATGACTTAAAGTCCCTTAATTAATTATGAAAATCAAATTAGGCACACTAATAATCCACAGTTTAGCATAATTAAACATGTTTAATTCTAAAGGGCGTTACAGGTTAACCTGACCGAGAAGCAATAATCAGGGAAATCTAGCTGCCAAATCCCCAAATTAAGGGATAGAGGTTGATTTCCTTAGGAAGTGCAGGGGGTCTCTCACATGTACAAGACCTATAAATAGAGCCATAAGAGTTCATTAAGTTTTTTTAGACACCCGAAAATACTACTCCAGAGAGCTTATAATCTACAACATATTAGTGCATGCACAAGTGGATTAGGCAAAGAATTTTAGCCGAACCACTATAAACTCTAGTCCCATTTACTTGCTTAGCATCATTAACCCCTAAGTAATATGTGAGAGATTAGCGCGAGTGTTCTCAGAGAGTTAATTCCTTGTTGATTAAAATCCACCATCAAAAATTGGCGCTAGAAGGAGGGCCTAAACTCAGAGATCGAATCCAGCAAAAAGCAGTGACTATGGCCCCTTCGAGAAAGACCCGCAGCGTGATGGCAACCCAAAAAAGCCAAGAAGGCTAGAACTCGGCCCTCGGAGGAAAGAACCCAGCGAACCCGCCCAACAATGGCCAAGAGCCAGCAGGGGAACGACCTAACCGCGGAGCGCAGCCACAAGCCGCTGGAAACCCCCCAGACCGCCTTGACCAGCTCCAAAGGCAGGTTGAAACCCTTGCTGTGGCTGTAGAGAGGATGGCCACAGCCCTCGCCGGATAGGAACAAAGGCCAGACCTAATGCCTCCGTTGGAGGATGCGCCGATAAACTAGGTGAACGCCGCCATTGGGAACCAAGCAATTGGTGACCGACGCGGTGACGCCGAGGGGGTCAATGATAGTGGGGCCAACAACCCCTGTGCAGCCAGGTCGAATAGATCTATGGGGAGCAGGCAACGAGCGGCCATGAGGAAAGCCCTGGAGGGGGCCGAGGTCCAGGCGGTGAATGACAGAAAGGTACCTCCTCGACCGCAGGAGAACGCGAACCGAAGGGACGTGATCCTAGTAAAATCCTCGACCGCACGTGGAGGAGACCTGAGGGTACGGCTGAATACTCGACGCGATCGAGACGAGCAACGGACCAGGGAAGAAGAGCTCGCGGCCGAGAATAAGGCTCTGGCCGAGAAGATGGCTAGATTGAAAAAGCAGATAGGGAGCTAGCTGAACAACTTCAAGCAAGTTGTGGGGAAGGTGGCCGAGGCAATGAACATCGACGCCAAGATGTATACATCTCATGACCACCCCTTCATAGAGAACATCATCCGGGTGCCACTGCTCGATAATTACAAGCCGCTGCCTATCCCATTGTACGACGGAAGGAGTGACCCAGACGACCACCTGGAAGTCTACACGGGGCACATGGTCCTATACGGGTATCCCGAGGAGGTCATGTGCCGTGCATTCAGAATTCATCTTTCTGACTCTGCCAGGAGATGGTTCAGGTCACTAAAACTAAACTCAATAACTAGCTGGGATGACTTGAAGAACGCCTTCCTGACTCAGGTCATAGGTGTCAAGAAGTACATCCCATCAAAACAGAACCTCTCGAGGATGTATTAGGGACCAAACGAGTCCCTAAAAGATTGGATAGCCCGGTTTGGGGAACAGGTGGCTGCCACGGAAGGGATCTCCGACGAGCTAGCCTTGATGTGGGCCTTGTCAAGCATGAAGAAGGACATCCCATACAGCATGGACCTTGACCGGAGGCCACCCCAGACCTACCAAGAATTCCTGGCAAGGGCCCAGGGATTCATTAACACAGAAGAGGCCAAAAGGGCCTTAAAGAGCAAAGTGGTGGTTCCCACCAAAGAAGAGGTGGGACAACCGAGCCAGCAAAACAACGGTAAGAAGCGCCGAGGTAATCCTTAGGTACAGGCTGAGCCAAGGTACAATCCAGCCCCAAATAATATGGGCGGCAACGCCTCGACAAGGCAGGGGGACACCAAGCGGGCCAAGCCACAAAAGTATGACGCCTACACCCCATTAACCATGGGGATTGAGGACGTCTATCATGAGATTAGTCACCTCCAAGTACTGCGTCGTCCGCCGCCGCTGAAGTCCGACCCAGTGCGGAGAAACCAAAACAAGTATTGCAAGTTTCACGGTGAGAGCGGACACACGACCAACGAGTGTTTCGACCTAAGGGATAAGATCGAGAGGTTGATCTGTGAAGAGAGGCTCAGCGAATACCAAGCCGATCGACGGGGCAACAATAATCGGAGGAACAACGACCGACGGGAGGATCAAAGGCAAGACCAACCTCCCGAGCCCGTCGGCGTGATAAAGACGATCTTTGGAAGGCCCTACCTCGGCGGTGCCTCTCACCGTGCACAGAAAGAATACGTGAGAGAGGCAAAGGAAAAATTCAACCGGAGGATTATGAGTGTGTCCGGTAGGGAGTCAAAGGCCGCAAGGTTTAAAGAGGTCGAGATAACATTTTCTGAAGCGGATGCGAACGGGGTGCATCTCCCCCAAAGCGACGCTCTGCTGGTGGAGGCCATGATTGGCAACCATACGGTTTGCCGCATCTTAGTGGACAACGGCAACTCGGTGGACATTCTGTACGCCGATTGCCTCGACAAGATGGGAATCCCTCGGGCGAGACTACAGAATAGCCCACAACCACTGTATGGCTTCACAGGGGATTACGTCATCCCTGAGGGAATGATAAAATTGCCAATGACAATTGGCGACCGACCACACACCTCGACCGTTATGTCACGGTTCTTGGTGGTGAAGGGAGGCGACCAATATAACGCGGTCATAAGGCGACCGACGTTGAGGGCATTGAAAGTAGTCACACCAATCTATCACCAAGCAATGAAGTTCCTGACCCCTAATGGAGTCGGAAGGGTGAGAGGGAACCAATACGAGTCGAGGCTTACGTATTCGGAGACAATCCGCCACTACGTCGAGCCAAGGCAGACCAGAAGAGAGATGAGGATGGTGGCGACCAGAGCAGAGATAGACCCTCGACTCTTAGACGGAGAAACGAGGACGGGGCCAGTCGAGGAATTGGTGGAGGTCTCCATCAATGAAAAAGAGCCTACAAGGAAATTGAGGATGAAAAAGAGCCTACAAGGAAATTGAGGATAGGCTTAGAACTTGAAGAGCATAATCGGGAAGAACTTGTAGCATTCCTCAGGGGCAACCTTGATATGTTTGCCTGGACCCACGAAGACATGGAGGGGATCAGTCCGGACATAATGAGCCACATGCTCAATATAGATGAAAAGTATCCTCCCAAGAGGTAAAAGCGTCGACTGATGAATGCGGAGAGGTTTGCAGCTCTAAGGGAGGAGGTCGACAAGCTAATAAAGAACGACTTCATCTGGGAAGTCCTATACCCCGCGTGGGTATCAAACCCTATGTTAGTGTTGAAGCCCAATGAGAAGTGGCGGACCTACGTCGACTTCAGTAATTTAAACAAAGCCTGCCCGAAGGACAACTTTCCACTCCCGAGTATAGATCAGCTGGTCGACGCTACAGCAGGGCATGAACTCCTCAGTTTCATGGACGCCTATTCTATTTACAACCAAATACCGATGTTCCACCACGACGAAGAACACACATCTTTCATCACTGATAGGGGCCTGTATTGCTACAAGGTCATGCCCTTTGGCCTTAAAAATGCGGGAGCAACATATCAGCGCCTGGTCAATAAGATGTTCACGGACCAGATAGGTAAAACCATGGAGGTATATGTGGACGACATGCTAGTGAAGAGCAGGAGGTCTAATGATCATGTGGAAGACCTTAGGGGAATGTTCGACGTACTATGAAAGTACAGGATGAAGTTGAACCCCCTTAAGTGTGCGTTCGGGGTTAAGTCAGGAAAATTCCTAGGTTTTTTGGTGAGCAGTCAAGGAATCGAAGCTAATCCGAAAAAGGTGCAGGCGCTCCTCGACATGAAATCGCCATGGAAACCGAAGGAAGTCCAGAAGCTAACGGGTTGCATTGCTGCACTCAACAGATTCATTTCAAAATCTACAGATAAGTGCATACCGTTCTTCGACACCCTGAGAGGGAGCAAGCCATTTTAGTGGACAGATGAGTGCGAACACGCGTTCCAGCAATTAAAGGAACACCTTGGGAAGCCACCCCTACTATCCAAGCCTATGGACGGGGGGGTGCTGAGCATGTATCTGGCGGTCTCTAAACACGCCATTAGTTCGGTGTTGGTCCGCGAAGAGGAAAAGGTGTAGCTGCCTGTGTATTACACCAACAAGTGCCTCCTCGACGCCGAGACAAGATATCTACAGATGGAAAAGCTCGCCCTCGCGTTAGTGATTACGTCGAGGAAGCTGCGCCACTACTTCTAGGCCCACAATATTCAGGTCTTGATGAACCACCCCCTCAGGTAGGTATTGCAAAAGCCCGACGCCTCTGGGAGACTTCTTAAGTGGTCCATAGAGCTCAGCCAGTTCGACATCGACTACAATCCTGGCCAATCCTTGGCCGACTTTGTCACCGAGTTCATAGGATTGCCAGATGAAGCGGAGGTAGTTGATGCCCCCCCCCCCCGGTTGGAAGCTCTATGTCAACGGAAGCTCAAATGACAACGACAGTTGTGCATGGTTGGTACTGCACACCCCAAAGGGCCACGAGATAACCTCAGCCGTTAGATTCGAGTTCCCCGTATCTAACAATGAAGCAGAGTACGAGGTGCTGCTGGCAGAGCACCTAAAAGTGGGAGCCATAGACATCTTCAGCGATTCACAGTTAATTGTGAATCAGGTAAAAGGCCAGTATCAGACCAGGGATGAGAAGATGGCTGCCTATCTCAAGAAGGTTAAAGAGACCTTGGAGAAGCTCTCAGCCTACGACATACAGCAGGTGCCAAGGGTAGAAAATAGCAACGCCGACGCCCTCGCTAGGCTGGCCACCTCAAAGGACGCCGAGCTGCTCAGGCTAGTACCCGTGGAGGTTTTGAAAGCTCCATCCACTAAGGGAAAGCCTGAAGTCTTATCACTGAGCCACCAACCGAGCTGGAAGGACCCCATCGTCAAGTATTTGCTCGACAGCGGACTCCCGGAGGACAAGCAACATGCAAAGAGGTTGAGGTACCAGGCATCGAGATTCACCATGCATGACGATATCCTTTATCGCAAGGGGTTCTCGATGCCCTTGCTCCGATGTCGTGATGAAGTGGAAGCGAAGAATGTGCTCTCAGAGGTACACGATGGGATATGTGGAAACCACGCAGGGGGACAATCCCTGGCCTATAAGGTGCTGAGGCATGGGTATTACTGGCTTAGCCTCAAGAAGGACGCAGCCGAGTATGCAAAGAAATGTGAAGGCTGCCAAAGGTACGCCCCCATCCCTCGGCAACATTCAGAGGACCTAACGTCGATAGCCTCCCCTTGGCCATTTGCAAAATGGGGGATTGATCTCATCGGCCCATTGCATAAGACCCCTGGGGGATACAAGTACGCGATTGTAACGGTCGACTACTTCACAAAGTGGGTAGAAGCTGAGCCTTTAACGATGATATCATAGGAGAAATGCACAAACTTTATATGGAACAACGTAGTCTGCCGGTTTAGTGTACCACACTCTCTCGTATCAGTTAACAGGAAGCAGTTCAACAATGACAACACCAACTAGTTCTGCGAATTGCTAGGTATCCATAAGAACTTTTCCTCGGTTGTATATCCCCAGTCCAAGGGACAAGTCGAGGCGGTCAATAAGATTATCAAAGTCACGCTGAAGCGTCGACTCGATAACTACAAGGGCAAGTGGGCAGATGAGCTACCAAAGGTCTTGTGGGCCTACAGGATGACCAGTATGACGACCACAGGGGAAACACCGTTCTCAATGGCTTACGGGGTGGAAGCGGTCCTCCCGGTCAAGATATCCATCCCCACCAGCCGAGTGATACTGTATGAAGAAGATAAGAACGCTGAGCGAATGGGCTTAGAGCTCGACCTTCTAGAAGAAATGCGCACGGACGCACAACTAAGGCTCGCCTCGTACCAAGCCAGGACAGCCAGGTACTACAACAAAAAGGTCAAACATAAGCGGTTTTAAGTAGGAGACCTCATCTTGCAAGTAGTGACCCCAAACGCTAAGCCTAAAAACTCTGGGGTACTGGGCCCAACTTGGGAAGGACCTTATAGGATAAAGGAGGTCGTGGCGAAGTAAGTGGTCGAGACATCAAACACACTTAGAATGTAGACCAACTAAAGATCTACTATCAATAGCGGTCGTAATGGTCAACCTAAAGGTTACACTTAGAAATTTTTGCTATATTTTCTAGTGTCTTTCTGCAGACTGAAAAGTCGACGTGTAAATTTAATGTAAATAAAAGTTCGTTTGAATTTTCTACTTATTTTAGCCTACTCGTGTGAATTTTATCGCTCGACCAGAATCTACATATTTGAGAATCTACTATCTACATCGACCATTATATGTCGACCAATCTTGCGTCGAAGATAAGTTAGAAACTATCTTCGATGAGGGGGTAGTAAGGCTAAATAAGGCCACCCCAAGACCCTTAAAGGTAGCAAAGTTTGGTAAGTCCTGGCTAACCATACTTAACCAAACATTTTCAGAAATTTTCAAGTATTTCTACGGCATCCACAACAAGCATCTGTATAAAGAAAAATGCATATACAAATAAATAAATAAGGAGTCTCGACCTTATGGCCGTTACAAAATAAAAATTCAATGTCTCGGTCTGATGGCCCTCTAAGAATTATAAAAAAGAAACAAAAGTAGTCATGGCGCAGCCTCATCCCTCGGCGCCTGATCATCCCCCTCGACGTCTGGAGCCTTCTCTATCACTTCCACCTCCTCGTCGTCAGATTCGTCGAGGAAAGCTAGGTCGACATCTGGGCATTTCCTTCGGAAGCGGTCGAGAATCTGCTCCCCAGCAGACTTCATCAAGTTAAGTTGGAGCTCCTCAAACTCAGCAGAGTCTTGATAAGCGTCGAGCCTCTGGGTAACAAGATCCTTAAAGGCTTCTGAGGATTTGAACAGCTCCACCCATTCATCGACGATGTCCATGAACTCCTGCGATGACTTGTATCTCTCGACCCGAGCGTCGACCGAAAGGCAAAACTCGTCAGAGCCCAAGAATTCCTCGAGGATGTCTTTCTTCTTCTGCTCGAAGATAGGCGAGGTAAGGTGCGTCTCGACCACCTTGGAGCACCCCTCGTCGAAGCCCTTATTGAAGCTCTCATCCTTCTCCTTGATGACCGCCTCCTCCAGGGACTTGACCATGGCTTTCTCGGTCTCCAAGTCCAAAGAAAGGCCCTCCTGGGCAGCGCGCAGAGTCGAGATCTCCTCCTTTGCAGCTCTCGACGGGATGCCCCGCTTTAGCAGAGCGTCGAGCTCCACATAATTCAGGAGCGTGGCCTCAAGAGCCTGAAAGACGAAAAAGAAAAAGCATGGATAAGGCACACAAATCAACTATATGAGAACTGAGGTCGAAAATTGAGCAAGACTTACCGAGATTTGGCAGACCACCACTATACGTTGGCATTCCAAAAGGTCCATCCCTGTTAACTTGTCCTAGGAGTCGGGATGAAAGAGCGGGTAGATGGCCTGAAGGGGAAGGCTAAAGCAAGAGGGGAGGCGCATAGCCTGGTTCAGGTCGTGGTTGGCCACATTCGGGACGAGGAATTGAGGGTCATTAATCTTCGACCTCGGCTGTAAAAGGGGCCCCTGAGGCGCAGGAGGGACTTCTAGGTTCGCGGTGCCCTTCCCTTTATCCAGGCATCGAGACGCCTGAGAGGACCCTTCGGCTGATGGGAGGCCTTGTGGCTCTTTCGTCCTCCGCCTCTTAGGATCGGGGGAGACAGTGAACTTCCCCCGGACGGGGACCTCCGCGCTAGGGGTTGGAGTGACCTAGTCCTCTGCCTGGCTCGACAACTTAGATGAGGCTCCTCCACCTCTTTTCCTCAACTTTGGTGGGATGATGTACCTTATGTCGGAGGGTTCTGCTGCACAATAAAGAAAAGTCAGGCCCAAGAATCCCTCGACTACTTTCCCTCCTACTAGAAGGTTGGGAGAAATAAAACTCGACTTACCACTGAGGAGATCTGCTGGCGGGATGACCGTATCGTGCGGAGGCTCGAGGATGACAGCTAACCCGTAGAGCAGACGGTTCTCTGGTGTGTTGAGAGCAGCGGAGCTTTGGCGGGAGTCGGCGAGGGATATAATACGCTCGACACGTCCGAGTGCAACTGTAGAGAGCTTTGGTTGAGTAACGACTTCACCTGCACAAAGGACAATGCATGTAAGACGGCCGATGAATGGGAGGATGTCACGAAAGTTCAACAGAAAGGAGACCTACAGTATTTGATGAATACTGTCTGTGTCCCGAGGGGACGCTCGCCGTCGAGCGGATGGGTGTTAAAGTTGCATCAAAGGAAAAAGAATTAAGGCTTCCACCCATGACAACTGGAGGTCTTCTCGACCACGACAGGAGAAATGAGAGGTTTGTACTTGGAGTGAGCTCATAAGTAGAAAAACCCCCTTTGACCGGGGGAAGCCCTAAGGGCAAAGCAATACAAAAATTTCTCAACAGTTATGTCAAGGTTCAAATGTTTTCTCAAGAAAATAATCATGGAGTTTATTACCACCCAGCAGTTGGGAGACAACTGGGCAAGAGAAATCCTGTGAAGGCCACAAAGGGCCTTCACAAAAGGGTGAAAGGGCAGGGTCTGCCCAAAACTGAGGGACCGCATGTACACGGTCATATGCTTGGCATGGGGGTTGTGGGCCATGTCATTAGGGGTTGGGATGATCAGGTAAAAGTTGTTAGCGTCGATCCCCGCATCGTTGAACGCCCTCATGGCAACCCGGGCTTGATCTTCGACGGGTTAATGTCTGTTGCCATCCCCGAAACGCCACTGATCGATGCCACCCCATAACGACGTCCCTCGACAGGATCGACCCTCAAGCCATCGTCCTCGTCATCGAGGAGAATCAGCTCGTCTGACCGAGAGGTCAAGACTGACCTCTCGGCGTACTCTTCAACTTGGTGAAGCAGAGAGTCCCCGCTGTCGCCTGAGGACATACTCGACGATGTAGCTTCTTCAGGGTCTTCCCTAACCCTGGAAGTTGAGACCTCTCGACCTATAACTCGTTTAGGCGGCATGATCTGAAAAATGGCACAGAATGGGTCGAGGTAAGAACCTAGTGGTCGAGAGGCCAAAAGCAGAATCTGAAAAGAGAATGCTCAGGACAAAGTGATCCTAAGGCCTAGAACTTCATCACCAGGCCCACACAACCTAGACATGGGTGTCCAACCTATGAACAAGAAAAAACTCACCAGGGTCCCCAGGAACCCAGAAGTGAGTTTGAGAACCCGAACGTAGCCGACTAAACCCCAGCGGGTGCTACCACGACAAGGTTCAACCCAGATTAATACGGCATTGCTCAGTTCTTGCAGAAAGCCGTAAGACTGAGAAGGGGAATCGTGGACAGAAAGCGCACACAGAAGTTGAGGTCGGAGACGGTGGTTCCTGGTGAGAATCTGGCAGAGTAACGACGTTCTGGAGAATGGATAACCGTATAACTGTGCAAAGGGGCATATATATAGGCCCGAGGAGAGAAGCTCAAGAGACTGAGAAGTCCTAACGACGCAAGATCTCGATCGTCGAATCTGAATCGACCTCATCCAACGGTAAACCGGGAAAGACGTGATCCAACGGCTAGGATAAGAGCAGGAGAAATAAATATGATCGGACGGTTGCAACTTTCCCCTCGGCTGCCACGTGTCGCCAGGGTATGGGGACGTGACAGTTGACATGATCGACGAGACTGTTCCATTGCCCGAGGTACTCGTTGTAATGATGGCACAGTACCTACGAGCGGCCGTCGTAGTCTACAGGAGGGAATCTTCCACGTGGATCTCTATCACAACGTGACATCCAAGGCTAGGGGTAATTGTTACGCCACAGTCGAGGGATCGACCGTCCCTCTGGGTGACAAGCGCTGAGGACTCCCCGTTGAGGACCGGTCGCTGATGCCAAGGGAACCAGTGTGTCCGGAGTGCCCTTTAGACGTCGAGAAGTCACGTGCGTTGATGCGCGTCGAGGGCCCAACCCATGTGGTGAGGACCCGACATCGAGACATCAGCCCTGTCAAAGCTGTTGTCAGTCCTGGGGAAGATACACTGTATCACCTACCGCCACTGTTGGAGTCAGGAAATTAGGCATTGGGTAAAGAGTGGTTAACCTGACCGGGAAGCAATAATCAGGGAAATCCAGCTGCTAAATCCCCAAATTAAGGGATAGAGGTTGATTTTCTCAGGAAGTGCAGGGGTCTCTTACATGTACAAGGCCTAAATTTTTTTAGACACCCGAAAATACTACTCCAAAGAGCTTATAATCTACAACATATTAGTGCATGCACAAGTGGATTAGACAAAGAATTTTAGCCGAACCACTATAAACTCTAGTCCCATTTACTTACTCAGCATCATTAACTCCTAATTAATACGTGAGAGATTAACACGAGTGTTCTCAGAGAGTTAATTCCTTGTTAATTAAAATCCACCATCAACAAAAGTCTTTTCCTATATTTCAGTAAAAATTTTTGCTATATGTCTAAAATTTTTCCGAATTTGACAATTTTTGGTGTCCCAGTGGATAGCTCAGCCTGCATTCGTCTTTACAAAATTTGGGCCTTTTGTGATTACGATATTTCAGGCCCCTGGACCCACTAGCGTATACATTTTTACATATAATTGGCTTGAAGCGTCACCACATAGGAGGGAGAAGACGGAGACTTTTTTGTGCTTTTCTTAAAGGCGCGGCGGCGCATTAGGGAAGGAAAATCAAAGATGTGTCGCTTGTTAGAACAATTTTGTCGCCTATAGGCTATATTGCAAAGATAATGAGACGTTCATGATTTCATAAAAATATGAAACGATAACAAGTGATATCATATTCATTGAAATTATGCTACTAAAGGACATATATTTACCATTCTTTTTAGATTAGTCTTTATTCATCCACTTGTAATTTCGACTCATTCTGTGAAATGAACCAACATTTTTCTTCTTTTTAAGTATGCAA